AAAGAAAAAGAAAAAAATTACCACATCCTTTTTATCCAATCCTCAGTTGATGGGCATTTTGGTTTCCAAGATTTAGCTATCACAAATTGTGCTGCTATAAACATGGGTGCACATATATCTTAATGTTTTGAATTTTTCTGGAAAAACACCTAGAAGGGGGATGTCTGGTTCAAATGGGACCTCTAATCCTAGCTTTTTGAGGACTCTCCAGAGTGATTTCCACAGTGGTTGCACCAGTCTGCACTCCCACCAACAGTGCAGAAGGGTTCCTTTTACCCCATCGCCCCTCCAGCATTTGTTATTGGTTGATTTCTTGATGACAGCCATTCTTTCTGGAGTGAGATGGGATCTCAGTGTTGTTTTAATTTGCATTTCTTGAGTGACCAAGGGTGCTGAACATTTTTTCATGTTTTTATTTGCCTGATCTCTGGATTATTAACATGATACTTTTGTTCCACTTTTTCTTTGAATTCTACAAACTTCAATTATATTTGAAGTATTGTTTTACACTGGAGGGAAACTATAAAGGATATTAAAAAATGTATCTAAACCAGTACATACCTATAATCCCAGTTTCTCAGGAGGCTGAGGCAGGGGGATCGGAAGTTCCAGGTCAGCCTGGGCCATCTATTGAGCCTATCTCATAATAAGATTTGAAAGGAGCTGGGCATTTAGTTCAGTGGTAGAGTGCTTGCCTAGTGTGTGCAAGGCCCTGGATGCAGTCCCCTGTACTGAAGAAGAAGAGAAGGAGAAGGAGAAGGAGGAGAAGAAGACATGCACAGATGATAGAGTAACAAACAGTTCTTACCCTTGAACTTCTAGTTTTCAGTAATGACCACGTTAATAAATATCAAGTCCCACTAAAGCACATTAAAAATGAAAATGAAACATAGAGTTCTGGGGATCTAGGCTTTTCTTTAGGAGCTTTTGCCCAGGAATTCACTGGAATCGCACTTGATGAGGAGGAAAGAGGTCGCCAAGGCCTGTAAAGCGGGGAGGAGAGGAGAGTCCAAGGCTGGTTAGAGGAGTCGCTAGCCTCTCCCACCACAGTTAGGCCTTCCACTCCAGTACCTCTCTCCCTAGCCCTCCCGGACCAAAACACTTTCCATCT